CCCGATGCAGGCCGCTGAGTTGGGGCTGCCGCCAGGGGTCACGTTATCACCCGAGCTCCCTCCCATGGTAGCAGCCATTCGATTGCAGCCAAGGGCACATGCCCCGGTTGTGGGCTCGATCCCCAGTGGGGGGCCTGCAGGAGGCAGCCGATCAATGATTCTTTATCATCATTGATGTTTCTATCTCTCTCCCGCTCCCTTCCTCTCTGAAATCAATAAAAGAAATATATATTTTTAAAAAAATTACAGATGAGGAAACGAAGGTCCAAGCAGGGCAGGCAGGAGGGTCATGCTTGTAAAGTCCAGGCTCCTTTGCACTTCACGGAGCCATGACCTTACGTGCCCTAACCCTCCTCCCGGTGCGGGGGGCGGGGGGGGGGCGCCCGCTCACCTCTGGGCCTGTCCCCTCCCCAGACCAAGTGGCCTGTGCCGACCCCGAGATCTGCCAGAAGGTCTGCGGCAACCCCTCGGGCTGCTCTGACATCGCGTACCCCAAACTCGTGCTGGAACTCCTGCCCACAGGTAATGCCCCCCCCCCCCCCCCCCCGGGAAGGAGGTGCTGGCTGGCTCTGCTCGGAGGGAGGGACACAGGGTGGTGGGAGGCAACAGGCTCGGGGCCGAGGGACTGAGCCCCAGAGCCAGGGCCCCGATGAAGCCCGGGCCCTGGCCCAGGAGGGGCCTCCCCCCCACCTCATGGCGCCCACCTGAATGCTGCTTCCTCAGAGGTGAACCTCCTGGGGTCGGCCTGGGCCTGGGTCTGGGGTCATGAGTGAAGGCAGGGCTGTGAGCAGGAGGAGCCCGAGGCCCACAGACCTCCCTTCTGCCCCCAGGGCTCCGAGGGCTCATGATTGCTGTGATGGTGGCCGCGCTCATGTCCTCCCTCACCTCCATCTTTAACAGTGCCAGCACCATCTTCACCATGGACCTCTGGAACCGCCTGCGGCCTCGGGCGTCTGAGAGGGAGCTCATGATTGTGGGCAGGTGAGCTCTTCTTGGGTGGGGCCGGGCCAGGGAGGAGCAAGCTGAGCCCACCCAGAGGCCAGTCCAGCCAGTAACTTACCCAGCCTCAGCCTCCACTGATGGCGAAAATGAGGTGCATTAGGACCCCATTCATTCATTCAAGAGATGTTCACCCTGGCCGGTGGGTCAGTGGTTAGAGCGTCGGTCCACACATGGACTGAAGGTTTAATTCCTGGTCAAGGGCACATATCTGGGTGCAGGTTTGATCCCCACCCCAGTCAGGGCATGCTGATTCTTCCCTCTCTCTCTCTCTCTCTCTCTCTCTCTCTCTCTCTCTTTCCCTCCCTTCCTCCTACTCTCTATGGGAAAAAATATGCTCAAGTCAAGTGAGGATTAACAAAAATAAGAGATGTTCAATGAGCACCTACTATGTGCCAGATGCCAGACATAAAGCAACAAAAAGAAAGCTCTGTATTCATGGAGCTAGTGAAGGCTAAATAGCCAGGCAATGCAACCCCAACAGTGCTATGACCGAGTCAGGAAACCTAGGGTTCAGAGAGGGGTCCCCAACCTGGACTGGGACCTGAGGGGTGAAAAGCAGTGAGCCAGGTAAAGGGAGGAGGGTGTCCTGAGTTTTTTTAGGGGTGGGGGGGAGGGAAGGTTTCTCTACCAAGCCTTTCGCAAGTCCTGACGTCTAACAGGGGAATGGAAGTGACACAAATGAGTGGCATGTAAATTTTATGTAAATACACGTAAATAAGCACCCTGGGGCTCTGTGTGGGTAGGTGCATCCTGAGAGCTAGCTCAGCCTTGGGCTAGGGAAAGAGTTCCTGGGTATGACACCAAAAGCACGGCTGTAAAAGAAAAAATGGTGAATTCGCTAGCATTAGGAAATGCGAAGACAAGCCACAGACCGGGAGAAAATATCTGCACACCATATACAGTGGGGCCTTGACTTACAAGTTTAATTTGTTCCGTGACGGAGCTCGTAACTCAAATTACTCGTATGTCAAATCAAAAGTGAACGAGTGAGACACGTGATGCTGGGCTGATGTTGTGGCGTTCACTGTGACGTTCGCTGCGCCAACTAGTGGTGGGGTATCTGAAGCTGGCTCGTAACCCGAATTTTAGGTCGCAACTCAAAGCAAAAAATCAGCTGAGAGACGGCTCGTATCTCCAAAAACTCGTTAGTCGGACACTCGTAAGTCAAGGCCCCACTGTACTAGTATTTATAAGGACTTGTAATGCAGAATAAACTCCCAGACAAGACTGTAACCTAGGAAACTACAGCGTGACACCACCACACACTACATGGAAAAGACAGGCCGGAGGCGGGGACACGGGACTCGTGCGTGCAGGCCACAAGGCCACGGGTTCAGCCATTCACAAAAGTTTGGCAGTTTCTTAAACAGCTGAATGTACACATACATACACCCCAGGACTGCTGTCCTAGAGATGGAAACAGAAGTCCGCACGGAGACCTGTCCACAGTGTCCTTACAACAGCCCGGTCGCAGAATCACCCATGTCCGTGCGCAAGGGGAAGATACACAGGGTTTCTATGGGACACTCGTCACAACAGACAGGAATGAAATGGAGGCACGATGCATGGGTGACCTTCAAAGGCATGAAGGAAGCCCACTGCCCAGACGCAGGCTGTATGACCCGTTTCCGGGAAATGTCCGAAGGGGCAACCTGCTTGCTTAGAGTGGGATGTTTCTTTCTCTCTCTCTCTCTCTCTCTCTCTCTCTCTCTCTCTCTCTCTCTCTCTCTTCTACAAGAATGGCCTGTACATGGGCATGGGGGAGCTTTCTGCACGATGCATGTCCTAAACCTGATTGTGGTGACAGTTGCACCAGAAGTGACTGGATTGTAACTGCCTCCATGAAGCTATAAAAACAGCGAGGAGTGTTCGGGAAGCGGCACTGACGGGCGTCTCTCCGCCCGCCCCAGGGTGTTTGTGCTGCTTCTGGTGTTGGTCTCCATCCTCTGGATCCCCGTGATCCAGGCCAGCCAGGGCGGCCAGCTCTTCATCTACATCCAGTCCATCAGCTCCTACCTGCAGCCGCCTGTGGCTGTGGTCTTCATCATGGGGTGTTTCTGGAAGCGGAGCACCGAGAAGGTGGGTGCCCGAGGAGGGGAGACGGGGACTGGAGAGGGGACCCGAGGGTGTCTTGACGTGGGTGTCGCTGGGGAGGATGAGTTCTGTGGAGGGAGATACAGGGAGGGTGTTACCTGGCCTTCAACAACAGCCGGTTCTATTTTGATGGACTTTCTCACGGACAGGGAGGCTGATGACCTGTATGCGAAAGGCAGAGAGGCAACCGTCACTAGAGAGATGGCTTGGAGGCGGCTCGCTGAGGTTCCTGGAGGCCCGAGCCAGCCCCCAGCAGCCCCGGCGGAGCTCAGATGGCCTTGCTCCTATTTGCAGGGCGCCTTCGCGGGTCTGATCGTGGGCCTCCTCCTGGGCTTGATCCGGCTGATCCTGGACTTCATCTACACGCAGCCGCAGTGCCACCAGCCGGATGAGCGCCCCGCTGTGGTCAAGGACGTGCACTACCTCTACTTTTCCACGATCCTGTCTGCGGTCACCCTCGTCACCATGTCCGCCGTGAGCTGGCTCACAGAGCCTCCCTCCACGGAGCGGGTACATCTGGGTTTGATGCTGGACCCACTGAGACCCTTGGCTGCACGTGACAGGAAAGGGACCGCACTGGGGCGTGAGGCGGCGTGGCTGCAGGCTCAGACAGCCGGTCAGAACCCGCCTTTCCCACTGCCTCTCTTCTCGGGCCCGCGAGGGGCTGGCAGCTTCTGGGGGTTTATCTTCTCTGAGGTCACTAGCGAAAGCACAAACATCTGTGCAGCATTTCCAGCAAAGCTCCCAGTTCTCCTTGCTCGCCTGCCTGCACACCCAGCGGTCCCCGTGGCGCAGAAATGGTTGAGCTGAGGGGCTGACCTCGGGGTCCCACACCCCAGGGCGGGGCTTGTTAAGGTGGGGGAGTGTGTGCAGAAGGTCCTGGGGAGCTGAACTCGGAGGGGCGTGGAGTGAGAGGGGGGCCGGGAGCGGACTCAGACCGGCAGGCTGAGCTGGGGCCGCAGGGCGCGGAGAGAGGGATGACCACCATCTCACGGCCACCTCTGCTCCCTAGGTCAGCCGCCTGACCTGGTTCACTCGCCATGACCCCGTGGTCCACAAGGCACAGGTGCCAGCAGCCACTCCGCCACCGACCACCCTCCCTGCGAAGGGGCCGGCGGAGGCCAGCAGCCACGACCTGCCGCTGGAGGCCCCCCCGGGGAGCGAGGCCAAGCCGCACAGCCGTGAGTGGCCCCCTCAGCTGCAGGCGCCCCCAGGAGCACGCGCCAGGGGGTTTCCGTCTGATGGGGCAGGAAGAGGGAAGTGGGCACTTGACCGCACACTGGTTGAGGTTTCACATGAAATTCCAGATTTCCGTCTTCTCTTGAGAAATAGGAAGGCCTGGCCACACGTCTGCCCATGAACCGTGTGTAGAGCTGTGAGCAGGTGCCCGAGGCCCGGGCTGCCCCCCGGTTAGCCAGGGTCCCACCAGCCCCTGCTGTCCCCATGGCCCTGAGGCGGGGCTGTCACGTATCATCCCGCGTGGCCTTTAGAACATACTTATAACTATGAACCCAGGTCAGCCTAAAGCGGCACAGGCCACGTGCTTCAAGGAAGGAGAGAGAGTAGTTCCTGGTGGGAGTGAGGAATCTTCTGGCATGTTGACTGCCACGGCCCGGCTCCTGCACTCCATTGCCGGGCCCCAGGGGCAGCTGAGACCTGAAAGTGGTGAAAAGTCTAAACATCCCAGTTTCCCAGAGTAGAGCAGCCTCCCGGAAGTAAGGTACTGAGCACACCTGCCAGGAAAGGTGCCAGAAAGGTCAGACGTCCTGATCACAGGGCGTGAGAACACGGGCGAGGCCCCCTCCCCTCCTCTCCCTTCCCCTCCCCTCCTCTCCCCTCCCCTCCCTTCCCCTCCCATTCCCTCCCATTCCCTCCTCTCCTCTCCTCTCCTCCCTTCCTGACGGCCTGGATCTGGTCCTTTCTAGGCGCCGGGAAGCGGGAGCAGTCCCGCGCGGTGAGGGCCCTGCTGTGGCTGTGTGGCATGGACGACAAGGGCCCGGCAGAGCCCAGGAGCAGCGCGGAGCCCGCCATCGCGTCCCTGGAAGAGCGCCCCCTGGTGAAGGGCCTTCTGGACATCAACCTCGTCCTCTGCATGGGCTGCGGCGTCTTCCTCTGGGGCTACTTTGCTTAGTGCAGACGGAGCAGGCCCAAGACCTCAACTCGTTTCCAATGCCCTTTAATGAGGGGAATAAAGCTTTGTCTGTCTACCAGGAGGCTTCAAGGCTGTTTGTGGGCCATTTTCAACAGGACATTTAGCTTTTCTTCTAAAAAGGCATGAAGCTTGGGAGCTGGAAACCGGAGAGCAGTGTAGAAGCTTCCTTGTCTCCAAAAGCTGGGTGTTCCCTCTTCCTGCCCACGTGCGACAGCAACGGCCAAATCCGAGGGACGCGGGAGCTGAGACCTCCAGCGGAAGCAGCCACGCCTGGGCCTGGGCCGGTGCTGGGCCGCACCCTTTCCCCGCTCACCGCCGAGATGGGAGGTGCCCGGGGTGGACTGCACCTGCCTCTCCCTCCGCTCTCGCTGCCCGGGCTGAGGGCTCTCTCACAGTGATGCTTGCTTCTTGATATGGTCTTGAACACGCGCCTGTGTTGGCGCCGGAATCCTGTGCTAAGAATCGGGGGATTGTGTGCCTCCCGGTTCTGCTCCGCCTGTTTCTCTGCTTAAGTCCCCACCAGGACGCTCCCCTACACCTCCAGCCAGAAGGATGGACGACTCCACGACAACCTCTACAGCGAGGCCTTCAGCCTCCCGATCCCTCTACTCTGGGTCACGAGGGGCCCGAGGGCACGACCTGGAGGGGCAGTTTGCCCCACGCACAGCTGAGAGCAAGGGAGCCCAGAGCCATGAGCTCTCATCCTCGTCCTGGGATAGGGGCTGCAGGGGTGCATTTACCGGCCTGACAAGTGACGAGTCGGGTAGACTCTCAAGGGACCCTGGTGTCCAGACTTCAGAGGAACACGGACAGGAAACCGTGGGGCTGAGGGACAGCCGGTGGCTCAGTAGCACCTTGATGCCCTCGACACCGGAGCAGCCTGCACCAAGGGGCAGTGGGCTAGCTCGGGCCTTGGCCTGTCCACGCCTCGCTTTTCCACGCAAATGCAAGTGACAGCTGTGGCCTGGACAGGGCACCCCGCCCTCCTGGGAAAGGGCCCAGGTGGGAGCGTGCACGAATGAGGCCACTCTGCAGACCCCGCCGCCAGCTCAGCGAGAGCCTGACTGGTGTCGGCCCGTGGAGCCATGGAGGCTGAGGGCCCCTCTCCCGGCCGCGGGGTGGGAGCTGGGTGCTGCTCTGGACGGTCGCACTGAGCTCTGCGGCCACCGGTTGGGGTCAGACATGCATTTCAGAGAGAGTTGTCACTAGGCACGCCCAGGTCACCCCCACCTCCCCTTAGACCGCCCCGCCCGGCCTTCCTGCCCCTGGTCTCTCCTGCTCTCCAGCCACAGGCAGAGGCCGATGCGGTCAAGCCACTCTGCTGAGGCCCCTCAGTCCCTTCCCAGACTCCCGGGCGGGCACCGAGGGCCAGGCCCTCCAGCTTCAACTTGGTCTCGCGCCCTTTGCGGGCTCATCAGACTCACTCACACCCCCACCTCGGGCCCAGCACAGGAGCTGCACATGGCCCTAAGCATGATTACAAATATCCTCTTCCCTCCTAAACCACCCTCCACCTTCGGGCTAACCCCCAGCCACAGTGAGACCCAGGTGACCCAGCCAGTGGGACCAGGTGGCCCAGCCAGTGGGACCAGGTGGCCCAGCCACAGTGGGACCAGGTGGCCCAGCCAGTGAGACCAGGTGGCCCAGCCACAGTGAGACCCAGGTGGCCCAGCCAGTGAGACCAGGTGACCCAGCCAGTGGGACCAGGTGGCCCAGCCAGTGAGACCCAGGTGGCCCAGCCAGTGAGACCAGGTGGCCCAGCCAGTGAGACCAGGTGACCCAGCCACAGTGAGACCAGGTGGCCCAGCCAGTGAGACCAGGTGGCCCAGCCACAGTGAGACCTAGGTGGTCCAGCCACAGTGAGACCAGGTAGCCCAGCCAGTGAGACCAGGTGGCCCAGCCAGTGAGACCAGGTGGCCCAGCCAGTGAGACCCAGGTGGCCCAGCCACAGTGAGACCAGGTGGCCCAGCCACAGTGAGACCAGGTGGCCCAGCCACAGTGAGACCTGGTGGCCCAGCCACAGTTCTTTGGTTAAGTGAACACACATACACACATACGCACACCAGGTTTCCCTCCAAGAACAATCAAGTTTTCATATAAACCATAGAATATATTTAATTCAAATTAAACATGAAACTAGAATAATGTCGGTCCTTATCAAGTAGCAATTACATTGTTTTTAAAGAACAGTACATTTCTTTCTACATCCTGGCAATCCAACAAGGCACAGTACATCCAGTTGGCCGAGGTGGCGGATCCAGCAGCCACCATCGACGCTCATGGTGTGAGGGTTGAGACAGACCGCACTTCATGCCAACGACTCTGCAGCAAGAATGAAGGTCCAAGGAGCGGAGAGGAGGCCAGTTGCATAGTGAATGTGTTATTAAAGGGACAGTAACGCGCTGCTTCTGATTCACCCCGAGTGGCCGCCAGGGCCGCACTGATGAAGTGAGGAGCGCGGCAAGAGCGCTGCCTCCTCTAGGCTTGCTTGGTTTGTTTGGCGTGATGTCTTTCCCACGTAAAGAAAGCCAAGTTCCTCGAGACACAGGTCATTCAGCTTCCGTGGCAGCGCTGCCGCTGGCTGACAGGCGAAGTCCTGCGGGCCAGGTTCTCTGCCTGCCACGAAAGCTGCTCACTGTTTGGTCTGCAGAGATCCGCCCGCCTGCCCTGTTCCCTCTCAGGGAGGAAGGGCCGCGGCGGGGCTTTCTTCACAGGGCGGTGCTTTCTGTATCATTGTCCATGTCCAACAAGAGGCGGCCGGGCACGTCTTTGCTGTCTGAGTCTGCGTGCAGGTCAGGAAAGACGCTGCGAAGCGGTTCTGACACCCTCGAATTGGCGTCTGGACAAAAACACGAGACGTGGTATCAGTGCATGGTCACACCTAAGAGGCCGCCCCAGGGCTCCGAGCAGCTGAGCCAGCCCCTGCACACACGTTCCCTTACTAGAGGCACCAGGAGCCCCGAGAAGTTGAGTCAAGCCTCTGAGACCCAGGGGCAGCTGCGTGGCAGAGCCACTCCCGCCTGCCGGCCCCCTGGGAGCCCGTGGCAGCCCTCGGTGCCACCGCACAAATTCGCTTTCTGAAGGAGGAAGGAAACTTCTCTCTCACCAGCCCCCCTGGCACTACCGGAAGCCTCCTGAGCACACCTGGGCTGCAGGGCTGCAGGGCTGTGGGAAAAGGTACCCTGGAGGCTGAGTTTCCTACTGGTAATGCTACTCCCTTAACCTCAGCATGGGTGGCACTTGTGGGGCTGTGCTGTGCCCTGCAGGCTGTTCAGCAGCATCCCTGCCTTCTACCCACTGGATGCGGGTGGCACACAGCCCTCTCCCCACCCCCCCAACCAGAGAGGGCTCTAGGTACTGCCAAGTGTCCCCTGGGGGCACAATTACCCCTGGTTGACAATTACTAAGGTAGATCACAAATCTCCTGCAAGTATTAATGTTCTGTTTCTAAAATTTACATTTCCACTTTTTTCATGTCTTATGTTGGCAGGAACTCCTTTACCAACATGGCACATACATGTCTTCCTCAGGCCACTGCCCCTCACTCCCATGCTCACAAGATACCTCGACCAATCACAGCCCTCTTCCTAGCGAGGTGATGTGTCTCCATTCACTCACGCACAAATACTAGTACTTACTGAGCACCTGCCATGGCCAGGCACCTCCCTACCTGTGAGGACACAGCAGTGAGACACAACCCTAAGGAAGCCCTGGTCGAGCAGGGCCCTGACCAAGCAGAGGAATTGTTTTTCTGGGAGATGGGTTCTAGCAAAGGACAGAGCTCCATTAGAGATTGTAGGGTTGGGGCAAGAGAGAAGGGAGTGTTCAGATCTGCTGCAGTTCCACTTTGCTGGTGAGAGCCAGTCGTATCGGGAGCAGGGAGAGAGCTAGAGAGGGAGGCGGTGTGCTGGGACCTCCCCGTGCGCTCCAGCGGCTTGCTGTCCTTGCTGTGGTGGCTTCACCAGCCCTGACCCTGCTGGGAGCTGCTCTGGGCGTGCTTCTTCCACCTGCTCCTCACCCACAGGCAGGGCTGGCAATGCAGGTGCACTCTGGGAGGCTCCCTGTTTTGAGACTGGTTCCTGCCCCCCCCCCACCCCATGTCCCTATCGCCCTGAGCTGTAAGATCAGTTTACCTCCTGGGGTGTCCCTTTCCTCACATGGAATCCTGGGTTGGCAGACCTGTCCCTCAAGGTTTCCTATGCACCACAACGCAAGAGCAATTTCTAGCTTTATGAATGCGGCAAGGTGTCAAAGAGTTCAGGTGCTCAATGCCATTTCAACATGGTCTGATGGTTACTGCAAAACCAACTGGATTGTCAGAACTGCACCCCCAATCGTACAGTCGAGGATGGTGTAGTGCACAGAAGAGCGGGTGTTTTGGATTGTCCTCAGAAGAAGGGAAGTCAGCAGGGCAGGGGCCGTGTCTATCTTGAGTCCACTGTGCCTCCAACAGTGACTGGGTAATAGCAGATGCTCAATAAATTTTGTGGCTGGCCAGTTGGATGGATGAATGAACGGATGGAGAAAGAACAAATGAATGGATGAAGACTCATCTAGCCCAACCATCTTTCCAATCCTCTCTTTCTATAGCCTCAGGTAAAGAAGGAGCCATGCCTCAAAGACAACGCTGGTACAAGAAATCCATTGCAAATTTACCCCCCTTTCCCGAGCCCAACAAGACAGGAACTATGGAGAGAGCATGCCCGGGGATGCACGATGCAAGGGGTGTGCACGCTAATTAGATTCCTGCCGGTTAACACCTGTGTTCGCATGCAAACTCAACACCTACCAGCCACGGGTGTCCTCACAGGTTACAGCACACATAAATTCGGGATTGGAACTTCTCTGAATGCCTCTAGCTATTCATGATGAACACACATTACTATGTTCTCAGGAGTTCCTTTCCTCTCCTCCAGCCTGCACTGTCTGCTTAGCTGAGGTTGGCAGCTATGTCTTTTTCCCCTGCCTGTCTCTTTCACATCAATCATTTCTTAAAAGAAAGCAACACATCTATTTACCCACA